GGGCGAGGTGGGGCGGGGGTCTTCGTGCGCGCGGAGCCCTTCGTGCGCGCGGAGCCCTGCGCTTGAGAATCGGGGAAACTGAGGCAAGGGAGCAGACGCACGTGCTCACAGCAGGCCTTGCGGACGCCTCGCTCGCTGGACTCTCACCTCACCTCACTACGCCCGGAGGGCCCAAGTTAGACCAGGCAGCCTCTTCATTTCCAAAGATCCTGGAGACAGGAGAAGAGCAGGGAGTCGGTTAGGTCCCCGGCGTCGCCGGTGGAGGGTGGAGTGGCTCAGAGTTCAGGGCTGCGGGCCTGAGCCCACCGAGCTGCGAGCGCGCTCTCCTCGCGAGGCCGCTCCTTCTCTGCGGCTTACTTTTTTAGTGGGGGGTCGGGGTGAAGGGGATTAGGAGCCCACTGGGCGGGGAAGGTGGAGTTTGCTTTTCCCAGAAGAAGAGACGCACCGTTTTCTCTGATTGCAGGGAGTAGCGCATTCTCCAGACGTGAGTCGGGCCTCGGGCATTCGGGCCGGCAGGTGAGGATCCGGGCGGAGTGGCGTCTGCTGCAGATTCCGGGGCTGGGACCTCGCTGCTGCTGTTACTGGGGAGCCGATTTCTGCTCGACACCCAAGTCTGTGTTCTCCCATCAGCAACATCATTAAACGGTAAAACATAATTAAAACGTGATTTCGTGAAGATAATTGCGTTGGTTTTCATGAAGACAAAACTTCAGACTGACCAGAAAATAAGTTTTTAAAATGTAAAGAGAACCAGACGGTTGTTGCCAGAGCCCTTTGCTTGTGTGGCGAAACCCGTTTAGAAAGAAGCAGGGAGGAGGAAGTAGAAGGAGACTTGCGGCCCCTACTGTAACCCTTTCAGGAAGGGTGTGTTTAAAGTTCTGTTGTTCAGGGCGTTTGGCCTCCACCGTGGAGTGTTCTTAAAAATTAAGTGATACGGCGATAATGATTTTTAATCCTTTAGAAACCATACTGTGTCAACCAGAACTACTATCAGTTTGGGCCAGGTATGTGCCGGAGACAGGGCTAAGGCCAAGGACCGGGGTTAAATTCATCCCCTTGAGCCTGGCTGACTCAGTGGTTCAACTCCCCTTGGCGCTGCCTGTGGAGCTTTATCCTACCCGCCTGCTCCTGCTTATGCAGATGGAGGTGGTGTCAGTGACCACCCCCTTGCTGGATTATTTGAGGGTGTGTTAAGTCATCCAATATCTCACAGTTTTTTTTTTAATGACTACCATGTATGCTACGTAAAGAAATATAGCAAAAACACCGACCTTGCATGTTGACCACCTAGTACTTCTGGATAGTAGCCGGCACAGGGTAGGAACTCAAGAGGTTGCCCAATATTACAGATGTGTTCACTGAGGCCCAAAGAAATTGTGTTTAGCTTGAAGAGCAAAAGCAGAACTAGCAGTCAGTCCCCTGTATCCACTGTATTCTGTAGAGCGGGAGACATGGAAGCACGGACTCTAACTGAACAGGCCTGGGCTGCAGAGAGCCAGGGAAACCCGGGCCTCAATATTTCAGGAACTGGGAGTTTGATTTCCTTTTGAACTCTGCTCTGGGACTATTGTTAGACCTTTAGAATATTTTGTTTCCAGGATGGGTGGGAGCAACTTGTGTTTCTAAATCAGTCCTGGAGACAGGCCAGCATGTTGGAATGCACTGGAGGGAGGCATGCTATGTTCCTAAAGATCTGGCCCTTCACCTCTGCCCCCATCCAAGACTGGGTCTGGTCTCCTGCAGGAGCAGACAGGTCTGAGTTTCACAGCAGGAGGAATCAAGCTGAAGCCAGCTGAGATCTGTGTTGGTTTGCTGGGGAGGAGCAGTTTTCCCTTCTCTCTGTTCCTTTTTCCCCATGATGGCAGTATGTCCTAACTGAAAGAAATTAGCGATATGGTGGCACACCTGTAACCCCAGCACTCTGGGTGGTGGAGGTAGGAGAATCACAAGTTCAGGCTCAGCTTGAATTTAGCAACTAAGCAAGACCATGTCTCAAAATAAAAAATAAGAACAGAGCTGGGTAGCTCAGTGCCAAGGCCCTGGGGCCAAGGCCCTGGGTTCAATTCCCAGGCAGTAGGTATACTGGATTTTTATTGTTATTGTTAAGACTGATATTGCTGTGTTGCCCAGGCTGGCCTTGATGTCCTGGGTTCCAGTGATCCTCCTGTCTCAGCCTCCTTAGTACCTGGGACTACAGACTATATGTGCACCCACCTCTCCTGGCTTCTGGGTTGTAAGTAAGTAAAAAATAGGCTGTTCAAAAAGCATATTCTAACAAGGCCGTAAGCATAGGGATCTTTTTCTTTTTCCTTGTCATGGGGCCCTCACAGGTCTAACAGTTTTTTGTACATGCTAAGTGCTGAGTAAATATTGGTTTAATAAATGGATTCCTGGTGTCAGAGACACATTCTTTTTCTGAGAATGTGTTTCTTTGAAAGTTGATTTCTGTTTTCTGGATTTAAAAATTAAGAGTTGGTGCCAGGCATGGCCTGTACAGATATAGAGTCACACACTTGTAATCCCAGCACTCCGGAGGCTGAGCAGAAGGCCAACCTGGGCTATACAGTGAGCTCAAGACCAGCCTGAACTACATAGCAAGAACTGTCTCAAAAACAAAACAAAACAAAAAAACCTCAAGATACAAAGATGATAAAAAGCTGGACTGAAATGATTTTGAATCACAGTTTTATACAAGTTAGTGTTTTTTTTTGTTGTTGTTTACTAGGTCATTGTCATCGTAGGAAGGAAAAGTTGGGCTATCATGGCTTCGATCTGGGTAAGTAAAGTCCAAGCCTTCACAACACAATGACTTCTCTGAGTCAAATCAAAATTCAGAAAAATCAAAATATTAGCCAGGAGTAGTGGTGCACACCTGTAATCCTAGTCATCAAGTGGCTGAGGCAGGAGGATCACCGTGAGTTGGAGACCAGCCTGGGCTATAGAGTGAGTCCAAAGCCAGCTTAAACTACATAGTGAGACCCTGTCTCCAAAACAAAACAAAAACAACAAAAAGAAAATCAAAGTATCAGGAAAAAATTTTTGGAGGTTGATAAAAAGTTGATCTGAAAACATGTCCAGAAAAGCTTAGCTCATATGCAAAAATAATAAAGTATTTTAAAATGTGTAGATACATAGTTAATTTGTGGTGTCACCAAAGCAGAGAGGTCAAAAACAGTAAATTTAGTATGTGATTTATATCTATTATATGATGTTATATGTATTATATGATAAAGATAACACTTCACATCAGCAAGGAAAAGATAGCTTTTTCAATAAATATACTTAGGAAAACTTTCAGCTGTTTGGAGAAAAGTAAATCTGTCTTCCTTTTCCCTTCTTACCTTAAAAGGTAAAATGCAGATGGGTACAATACAGAAATGAAGGAGATATGATATAGTAGAAAGAGTTTTAAAATAATCTGACAGTGGGAAAAAGTAATTCCAGTGACCTCAAAACAAAGCCTAAAAGGAAAACATTGATCTGTTTAACTACATATGAATTTATAATTATGACAGCAACTATTTAGCAGCCTCAGAAGACAAACTACAGGGGAAAAATATTCGCAGCACATTAGAACGACTTTATTCTTCTCACATTCAAGTGACTAGAATAAATCAATCTAAAAACTGAACTTGATGTAAGATTTGCAAGACACATAAATAGGACATGAAGGGAATTATAACTATCCCCCGAAAATAGAGAAAAGTGCTGCACTTCACTGAGAATAAAACAAATGTAGATAACACAACAAGAGATGATTTTCTACCTGAGGAAGTAGAAAAAAAATGAAAAGTATGTAGCATAACCACAGTTACAGAGGCTGTGGGTGACACAGGGACCCTCACCCTCTCTTTGTGGCAGAATAAATTCGGTGTACTGTTTGATGATATTTGGTCATGACCTTTCAGTGTTTACATGCATTTGTTACTGAACCAAGTAGTTCCACTTTTGAGGATGTATTATATAGACTTGAAAAAGTTTGGGAATAAGGATTCATTTGTACTTGTTTGTAATTTTAACCTTTTTCATGTGATCAATAAAGGAATTTGGGGAAAATAGGGAGGCAGCTCTCTGTGTACCAAATCGGAAAATACAGCATAGTATGTACAGAGTGATTTCTGGTAACAGAACAAGAATGTGCTGTGCAATGAGACTATATTTCATGGAAACTTTCTGTAAAGGTAAAGATAGGGCACATGTGCAATGGACCCTTGACTTACAAACTGGGTCAGTTCCCAAGGGCTGGTTGTAACTAATTCAGTCCAGCTGAGATCTGGATGTTTACCTAGGTACATGCTGTGGATAACAAGAGGCTGATGAATCTTCCATTAACCTGATTAGCCCAAGTTGTTCATGTATCAGGCCAGTGGTAACAAGGGTCCACTTGTACTGTTCAGCGTATCGCCTTTTGTACTCTTGGATTTGGTTCTTACTGTGTAGTTCAGACTAGCCTTGAACTCTTTGTGTGGCCTAGTCTGTCCT